GAGTAATGTAAAACCTCTAAAATACTCTATTTTCATGGTTGCAGAAGATTTCCTCAGAACAACCTGCAGTATGTAGTACAAAATTAGCTTCTGTGAGTGAGGCTTCTTTTACCTGTGCTCATATAAACTTGGATGTAACAACGAATTTGTGAACTGTGCTGTGCATACCAAAGGCAGTCTCAAGAGTCTGACAGCCAAGTGGTGATGAGGACATCTCCAACTGCTTGAAATGTGCACGTGAAAGGTGAAGTAGTCAGAAAAGAGGGAACTTGTGTTGCTTCTTATTCTCCGGAGTTAGGTTTTCAGTCCGTGTAGGAGACCCACCGTCCCTACTTTGACAGTACCAACAGCTCTGTCACATCCATCCTAAAATACACTGATAGTATCCTCTTCCCATGTTTCACACACAGTCAGAAATTAAACCCTCGTCTCCAGGACATAACTCCTGGCTGAAGTTGGAGCCGATGGAGATGGTGTAGCAATGGGTTCATGTTGTCTAATTTCAGGCACTGAGCTCAATTACGTCTCCTTCTCAACTGCCTTCACGCTAAAGTTGAAGGTAGAAGTGTGTCAATGTCTTCCTCAGCCCTTCATCCTCCTGTCCCTGTCGTGTGTCGTTCATCTGGTGGACAGAGTCTGAAGATCCAGCTGCAATAAATCTTAATTATTTATATGAACTTTTACAGTTCTTTTTGGAGAGACTGTGAGAGGCTCATCTTATTGCAGCTGACATTGGGCACCTTAATTATCTGACTTGTAACTAACCTGAGCTGGAGGGAGTGTATGTGTGTCTCTTTCTCTCTGTCATAATTTTTCCCTATATCTTCAGATTTTGATGAGGTGTGGAAAAGGAATTTTCCTTTGAAATCATTAAATATTTCACTTGCAGGAAGCGACATTTCTCATCCATCTCCAGTCAACATTTTGTGTCCTTAATTTCTGATAAGGGAACAATCTTGTCATGAGCAATTAGAAGTGGCATCCTTAGAGAGGTAAAAGGGAGCTACAGGCCTGAGAGAGTACCAGCACACATCTTACTGTTACAGGAGATTCCCTGACTCTCTGAAGATGAACTGTGAAGGCTGGTTGATGTTCTATAAGGTGGGGTTCAAGTTAGATTTCTGCCTCTGGGTGGAATAAATACTATATGGGAACTAGAAGAGAGGTCATTTCAGTCCCTTGTTTGCCGCTTTTATGACATGGGTTGTAAAACTTGTGATGTTGCTGTGTACAAGGAGAAGAAATTGTGCATGTTAATGCTCCTCTTCTATCCCTTCTAATATAGAAATGGGGAGTGAGGCAGGCACAGGCCTGGGAGAGGGTCATCTTTGTAGGGGTCTCAGACATGCAATTTCTGATTTTACTACTGGTAATGTATAGGTACTGGCAGAAGTTGAAAACTTTTTTTTTTTTTTTTTTTTTTTCTTTATCAGCAGCTGTATATAGCATCTCTCCATTGGTAGAATAAATCTGATAAAAAAATGTAGTTGTAAGCAGTAACGATTTTATCCTAGTGAAAAGATTTTATCCAACAGAAAAAATGTTGTGCCTGGGCATAATTTTTCAGATATGATGAATAACAGCATAGTATGACCCTCGGTCCTAGGAATTTAATTTTAAAAGAACTACTGAATGTATCAGATATACTCAACTTTTTCTCTCCTATCATTTTTTTTTCACAGGCAGAGTTTGGTTTATAGCTACATCTTGACAAAAATCTGCCACTGGCAAATTTCAACAAAAGAACAACTTCAAACACATCCAATTAACAATTTATGAAAGGAAATCCAACAGAAAATTACACGGAGATTCACAGGGAATAAAATTTGGCACTAAATCAAATTTAATGTGCAGTTGCCTATATAGGGAGTTATGGCCTCTTCCAGTGCATTGTCAAAAGGAACTTTATCTGTGGGGGCTCAGTGAGTGCCCTCCATCATATCTTTTCTTGTTATAAATAAAATATTTTGTCAGACATAGCAATAAGAAAAACTCAAAAGGGAATGAAGGCCACTGATAAAGCAAGCTACATGAAGATTTCAATCAGAAGTATTAGAAGTCATTAGATTTCTTCACACTTTCAAATCTAGGATTTGTTTACTTTATCACAGAAATAAGGATCATCAACAAACACAAAAATGATTTTTGATTTGTTACCACAGCCAGCCATGATACATGCCCCGATAGCAGGTCATGGTGACTATATATCATGTTAATATGGACCCTTTTTTATGCCTGAAAGGAAATTTCATCCTGCCCGCATCCTGTTGTTTCCTGATTTATTCATTTACTCAGCAGCCGTGGTTGGATTTTCTCGAAAAAATATTAAGGATACAAGCTCACATAATTGCTTTCAGCAGCTCTGAAATTAACTTAAGCCACTACTTTGTTTGGAGAAGAACATCTGTGTCTAGACCATTATCTATTTAAGCATATGAATACCTGTTTTTTGTAAGAGGTGACTGAGCAGCATCACTTGCATTGCATTATCTGGATTATTTGCGGGGAGCGTGTTATTTACAGATACCAGGACCAGCAAGTGGGGATGACTAATAGAGTTGACACAGGCCAAGATCAAGCATGTTTGTGACACAGCTGTGGTATTACATGGAATAATACAATTTCAAGAGTTGGTTGCTGTATTGCTGGCTCTCCTGTTAATCCTGTGCTCCCACATTAGAACAGAAAAGGAAACATTTGAAATCTTGTAAATCTGTTGTTTTCCACTGAAATGCATATCCGTGTAGGAAAGCATGGCTTTCAGTGGTCATGCATGTGCATTTGGGTCCATGGCACAGTGTCCCTGCTGTGACCATAGTACAAGAATTTCATGAGATCACTGTTTTCCTGCACCTTCAGAGGGCAGACACTCGGGCTCTTCCAGCCTACTTGGCATTGTGCAGTATAGCGGCCTCTGCATGTCCTAGTTAGCCCTCTGGTGAAGGTGAGAGGACACTTCTGTCACTATAAATGAAGCATTAGAATACCCCAAGGGTTTTTTTCTTGAGTCCATTAATACGTACTTTTGGCACTGAAACATTCTACCAGATAAGTTAGTGTCCAAGGCACATAATAGTTAGTGAATAAAACACCCCCAGAGTATCTTAATCCTATTAAAATGTGTCTTTTAAAGTGTAAATTATTTTTTAACCTAATTTTAAATGATGATTTTCTTTCTGTAACACAACTTTTCTCTGTAGATAAGAGATCCCAGGGAAGCAGAAGGTGAAACAAAGAAGTTAATGTCAAAGATTTTAATCTTCTGTTTATATTTTTAAAAGACACTTGGCTGTTTGCTGCTAATTTTTCTGTATGCCTCTACTTTTTCCATCAACCCACTTCCTTCATTGCATTGTGCAATTTTCCTTGTCTGCAACTAGATGATGGTGATAATAATAATGATTTAATTGCATAAGGCAAAGTCTAGGTTTAGACAACTGTAAAAATTCTTTAGTTTCTAAATGCAGAAATTATATACTTTTTAAAGAATGAAAGAAGAGTTAAAGAGTTCAATAAGCATTTCCAGAGGCCTGATATTCTTCAAAATCTAGCCTCCACAGTTTCTCCAAGGCAGATCTCTAAGCAAACAAGCAAAAAGTAAAACACATTCTAAGTGACTTTTTTTTTTTTCTCACTCCCCTGTCTCCCTCATGCACTCTTGGTTAGGCTTCTCATTCTTGGCGTGGTGATTTGACATTGTTTCCACTGCAACTTTCACTTGAGTCCTCCCAGTCCTTCCAGTTCTCCAGTTTTTCTGTGCTCTTCCAGCAAGCTCCCTGATGGACTGGCTTCCTATTCACTCTGTGGGAATTCAGGGCATTTAGTGTTTTTGAAAACTTAGCCATGGCAAGACAGCAAAGGCCTTTATTTCTCAGGTACAAGTCATTGAAAATCCCCAATGTTTGTGTTTCAGATAAACCCAGATTCAGAGAACTGAACATCCCCCTGAATTCTTGTGCTTGTTTTCTCCTGTAGCTTTCAGAGACTTTGGAGACATTCAGGTCAAGCATGTTCTGCAGTTACTGCCATTCCTTCTTTCAAATTCAGAGCATTGGCAGCACTGGATTGCTTTTTTATTGTAACTTTTGATTAGGAGTCAAAGTTCAGCTCAAGGAGAGTTTAAAGGACCATGTGCTTTGTTTGAAGTGAAATACTCATGCAGTTGTAGGATTGGAGTCTTCAGCAGTGCCTATTAGTTTAGAACTTGTGCTCAGCCTCCTGATTCTCCAAACCAACCTTGTGTCGTTTCATTCTGAGCCCAGTCTAGACTGAACCCAACATCTCTGTAGGCACAGAAGATAAAGGCTGGGAGAAGACCTTGTTAAACCTTTGCCCCTACCTGCAGTGTAGATGCATCTGGATGGATCATGAACAAGGTCTTAAAATCTGGATCTGAATAGAAGCACAGCTCCCAAACACAGTATGAACATCTAGCTACCTAGAAAATGGTATCTAATGTGTCGGAAAAATCAGGTCAACTCTACAGAGTGAACACCATGAAACTGTCAGTCACTCAAACTGGTGGTTATGCAGTCACATTACTAAAGTGATTTTTCCATTTTTAAAGCTGTATTTAGTTTACCTCCTAAATAGACAAGATAGGATCCTTTGTTATGCTGAATGTTGCAAGTTGGATCATAAAGTCTTCGGATTTTATGTCTTCCTGAGAATGTATCTAATTCCAGAAGAATTTGCAGGAAAATAAACAAGGAAAATGTGTCATTTTTCAGATGCGCATAAATTTTTTTGTTCTGTCAAAACTGTTGGAAAACTGAAGTTGGTTCCTGGTGCTCAAGTGTAGCTTAGTAGATCTGGCTTCAGGTCCTAACACTTACTTCAAGATTTGTTATGTTTCCTCTCATGTAACTTACTCTTCTCCTCTTCACTTTTTCACCACTGTTTATTTAATCTGCCATGTTAATGTTTTCTTTTCCTGTAAGAAGGCTATGTAAAACTGGACAGGATTTACACTTTGCTTTCTTTCCATTCTTCCCTCTCAGCAGAGCCCTAGGACTCCCTTCTCTGACCTACCTGATGATGAGAAGATCTTTAATGGAGGAGATGGCATGGGGCAGAACCAGAGCCAGGATCAAGCCTTGCTCTCGGAAATCACAGAAGAGGATCTGGAGGCCATCCGTCAACGGGAAGAGGCCATTCAGCAGATTGAGGTCAGTAACCTTCTCCTGTCATGGGCTTGTGAGCTGGAAGTGCAGATTCCTTGTGTTGTGCGTTGCTCAACATGATGAAAGAAATGCTGGTTTACATTGCTGCCAGTACAGTGACACTAAAAATGGAAGAGATTATCAAGTGTTTCTAAAAATGGAAAACTGTGGCAGAAGGAAGAATTAGAAATCCATATGACCTGTAATGAAAATGACAAGAATTAATTAATATTCGTGGTCTAATGTGTTTTTTTTCAGTAAGTCTTCCATAACAGTTTGTAGTGAAGTAGTTTAATTGAGCTTGGTTTTGCAGCAAAACAACTTTCTTGGTGCATGAATACTTGAAACCAGAATTTGTCACAGACAGAAAGTATTCAGCTTTACCATTAGCAAGAATAATAGGTAGACAAAAGGAAATAACTTGTTAACTTTTTCAAATAATTCAATATTTTTGCTTTATTAAAGTATTTGTATGTTCTTAATGTAGTTGAAAGAAGACATACTATTTTTATTCCCTTTTTTTAGAAGTGCTATAAATAAAATATGAAAATAAGGAACAAAAAGAGGTTTGAATAAGTTAAACATCCCACATTTTTCTTATTATACTTCTCTTTTTATGCTTTTGGGAAACTCTCGTTACTCAAATTTAACCAATAAGTGAGTAAAACCAGAACATTTTAAATCTTCCTAATTTGTATGCTTTTACAGGCCTAAACTCAAGATGAACCAAAAAAAAAGAGGTCTTCAGAATAATCAGAACATTTAATTAAGGACTATACTTTGTCCTTTAATTGGATTGAGCTAATTTTATCAGAATAGATTTTGGCTGCGGTATATCAGGAATTGTGATTGAGTTAACAGTGCAAAAAGGGGACAAACGTTCCTGCTGTAGACTGGTACTTTGAGGCTTTGACCTCTGTTTGCAAACAGTAGCAGCTACATGTGATTCAACACTGCAAGTAAGAAATTTTGATAGTTTTATAGGAGTGAGTTGAGGTTAGTGAATGTCTAATTTCTGTTATGGTTTGCTGAATAGAGATGATTGAGCTTTGTGGGCTTGCGTGCATTGCTAGGGATGAAATTGTTAAGGAATATTCTCACCCTGAATATCCTTGGGTGCGAATTGTCCTTTCATACTTGAGGAATCTCTTTGCATCCACCAGGACAAATTCTAGGGAACTTTGTTGCAAGAAAGTACATGTTTGGGGATGTTCCTGCACTTTGATGTTCAAGAAGGATGGTAGCAAAGACATTTCTGAAATGGCGTTGTGGACACAAAGGATATTGCTGTGATCCTTTTGTTTGAAATATAGTCACTGCCTTTTTCTTTCAAACTTTATGTTGCCCCCTGTCCTCCCCAGAAAAACAAACAAACAAACAAACCAACCACATTTAGTGTTTGCCCATTAGGCAGTGGAAAATGACAAACACCAAGCCTGCCCCAAGCACAAGAACTTCTTTGGAGAATCAAGAGGTGCAGTCGAGTCTCCTCAGGGAGATCCTTATTTTGCCAATTAAATCCCATTTCTGTGGCACAATCTGATACCTCTGCATTGAGCTGCACTGGACCATGTGGCCGTGGTGGGGTACTTCAGGCAAGTTAAAAGAACCCAGTTCTGGCCTTACCTAACTTCTAAATAAGTACAACAGTCATGTATTGTACAGGTTGATTTGGTAGATCCTATATACCTTTCTGCCTAATATGAATTTACCTCTGAATAACTTATTCAACTTACGCAGTTAATAACTTACTCAACTTAAGCAGTTAATATTGTTCAGCCTTCTGCTTCCTAACAATGTGTGCACTTTCTTTTTACTTGTTTTTCCACATCTCCTGCATCCATTTTGCTTTGCTTTCCAAGATCCATGTTCATGCAATATTTCAAATGCAGCTTAAACATTTCTTCTCAGGAGGAAAACAGTTAGGACCAATAGTATTTTATTTAACATCTCTTTTGAAAGAAATATAATGAAAATGAAATGGATTTTTGGACTCCGTCATACCTCTCCCCAGCTGTATTTGAATAAACAGATGGTGCTTTTAAATCATTTTCACTGGGCTTTGTTTTTCTGTTTGTTGACCCACATGAACATATTTCTTGTGAAATGACTCATCTTGCACATTAAAACTTTCCTGATTTCATTAGAAGTTGTGGGTATACAGGAAAGGGACTCGCTGACCTCATAACCACCTTTATAACTTTTTTCCAATATGTTTTCAAAACCAATAGGTAACCAAGGAGGTTAAAATTATTCCTGTCAAATACAACTAAAACTAAATTTATTGCCAAATTAATGTATACCATTTGTTCTCCTTTGTTCTTTAGGGACCAGAACGAAGAATAGAGCTGTGCAAAGCACATCTTATGCAAGTAGATTTGTCTTGCTGGGATTTTTACATTTCTGAATATCTAGCACCAGAAACATATAGCTCTTACGCAGCACAGAAGAGGTCACAGAGCATTGCTAGAACATCGTATCTTCTAGGCCACACTGATTAGCACACAACTTTGGAGAAGCTCATGGTCCTCAGTAATGGGCCTTTTTTAAAAAGACATCGAATTTGCCCTCTTTGCAAGAACAGATATAAAACCTTTTTCATTGCTAAAGAAATGAGGAAATAAATTCTCTTCCCATATTGTGTCCTGGAAAACAGATATAAAACTGTGCCCATAATAGACATCTTCTTAATGTTCCAATGACTCTTTGCCACTTGTGTGTTTTCCACATCTCAAGAATCTCTTCAGATGTTCAGGTTAATGGGACATTGTCCTCTGTCATGAACATCCCTTGAGGCACTTTTCAGCATTCACAGTTTCCACCTAGAAAGGTAACAGCCATGTCAAAAGTTCAGCTGGCTGTTCATTTTATTTAAATGTGCTTTTTTTGCTATTGCTTGCAGATTAAAAATAGAGAAGTCTGCAAGGGAGATGTCTCGCCAAAACCTTACATTTTGGATAAAGATCTTTATTGCTTGGAAATGTCAAAATCTGGTAGGACACAGCAGCCTTGACACAAGTGTTATTTCTTAAAATATTGCTTTGAACTGTTATATAAAACCTATTTTAACTTGAACTGTATTGGCAGTGAATAATAGATGCCATAACAACTTTATATATAGCACTATAAAATGTGCCATCAGAAATACATGAGCTGAACTGTAATGTACGTTGTCAGTGCTCAGTGCTAGCACAAGCTCTGTCATAGCAAATACATATAATATAGCATCCCGTGCCTTTCATTGGCACCTGTGGTCATGTGAAAGATGGAAGGAGATAAAACTTTGGGAAGAAATGCATAACCATAGAATGGAGAACTTCTGATTTTTATCTGGTGACTGGAAAGACCTGTAAAAAAAATATGCTAAATGCTGTATTGATTCAGAAAGCCACCAGTGGTCCTCCCTATGCAGAAAGCTTTTCCAGAGGTGATGAGAAAGGATGATGAGACAAACACCTCCCAGACACCACCACTGTTTTCTCGGAGTCACCACCGGGTCTTCTCACCTCTTCCACAACCGTTTTTCCTTTCCTGTAGCAGTCTTCCATCCCACTCCTGTGCTTCCCTGGCTGCAAACACAGCAGTGGGCATTCTCATAGAATGAAGAGCAGGGAATAGCTGAGACAGAAGTATACCAGGGAAAGAGCAGATTTGCAGAGCAAGACTCACTCCTGGTATTGGGGATGGTTGTCCCTGCAGTAGCAACATTCAATTTATCTATCCTGACTTCCCTACACCCCTTTTTCTCTCCATCCCCACAGAGGGGTCAGCAGCAATAAGTGCTCAGTCTGTGGAGGTAGACAACTGCCCATTTTTTCAGCTCCCAAACCAGACAGTACCAGGACTAACCACATCACCTCTCAGCCCTGAAAACCAGTAGATGCCAGTCAGTTTATGCAGATAACTGCAGTTACAAAATTACTTAGCTGTCAGGAAGTCAGTCATTCAGATGAAATGAGTACAAGGTAAGTCTAGCTAAAATACAGTTTAATGATTAATTGCTACTGGATGGACAGAGATTGAAAATTGGATGCCATCAGTTTCAGATGCCTGTGAAGCCATGGAGAATCCCCCAGTGAAAGGGTGATACAAAAGCATTTGGAGAAATCAGCTTTATTTTAGCTGATGCTTCTCTTGGCAAAAGAGGAGAGTTGGATAGGGTGTGGCAACAGGTGTGAGGGAAATGCATTTATTTTTAGGAAAGGTTGTTCTCTTTGAGTCCATGTTGAGAAATGTTGATATTCATTCCCTGTCTATTTTGAAGAGAAGTGATAGATGCCAGCCTCCACACCTGTCAGTCAAACATTTGTAAGCAGACAGAAAATGAAATACAAAAAAAAATAAAACAAAAAAAGCCCCACAGAGTATGTCAGAGTGTGTTTGTTAGTTCAAAGATGTTTCTTGTTCACTCATTACTATGTATAATTTCTTGCTGAGGGATATTTTCAGTAAAATCTCTCACCGATGCTAGCAGTTTAGAAGGTTTAATGCAAGCTATTTTATATCCTTCATCAGCTTCAGTAGTCCAGGGTTTTGACTTATAAGGGCTCTGCGTGCTTATTTACAGAGACTTTTCAACTCAGAGTAATGTATAAATAACACAATATCATGACAAGCACCATAAGTGAAAGATCTGGTGCCGCATGAGTGTCAAACAGCACTCTTTTCATGGCAGTGTGGTGGAGCCTAATTATCATGAGCAGCAGAACTGCCTGCAAGGTTGACATGGCCATCCCTGGGATTCAATATTGAGTTGTTCACTAAAGAATCCACTCAAGTATTTTGGCCAGTCTAATTTAAAATGACCAGAGCAGTAGGACTAACACCATTTATTTTGGGAGACTATTTCATGGTCCAGCAGGCTTCAGTGTTGATGAAATGCTTCCCTCTGTTCTTGCTAAAGATCCCTTTCTCATTCTCAGCTCTTTATACCCAGTGAAACTCTACTGGACCCTGCAAATAATTCTTCTTCCTCTTTGGCTTTTAAACTCCTCAAATGCTAACAG